TGTCCATTTCATAACCCCTGGGCACATGGGCTGTTTATAACTTTTCTACTGTTATAAACACTGTTGCAGTGAACATTTTTGTCTCCTTGACCATTTGACCTACAAGCAGAAATGTTGGGCTGTATTTATAACAAGCATACCTTCAAATATATCAGATGTTGATACATGTGTTTTTTAAGTCATTGCTGAATATTTACTGTCAACTGTTGGCATAATCAAATTCTTCTTTGTATCTTCATCAATACTTGGTATTGTGAGACTTAAACATTTTTTCAGTTTGATGACTGTTAATGGTATCTCTTCGGTTATTTTCATTTGCATTTCCCTGATCACTGGTGAAGTTTAGCATGTTTTCATTACTAGCTATATCACCTTGGACATATGATTAAATTTGTCCTTGATTTCCTCATTTGTAAAATGACACTGGTTAGTACCTATCATATAAAGTGGTATAAAAATTAATGCCAGATACAGAGCAGATACGTAATACAACTTTGATTTTGGTGGTGCTTGTGAAGATTGTATTGGTGGTTACCAGTAGTAAAACTACTACTACTGCTGTGATTTTTGTTTTTTAATACTCTCATCTGTTGTGTATTGCATATGTATTTATCTATTGATCTCATCTTCCTTGCCCTTTTTTGCCATCAGGTTCACGTGATATTTCTGGAAACGCATACGGATGATTCAGAATAGAGTAGAAAATAACAAAAAAAATCATTAAACCTATCACACGCAAAAATCAGAGTACATTTCCCCTACCTTTCATTGCCATTCTTGCACTTATTTTAATATTATCAAGTCATTAATTGAAATTAAAATATTGTATATTTCAACCAATATGTTAAAAAATTATTTCCATGTAGCTGGAATCACCTCTGGAATTATATCCACATGGATAAAATATGTGTTTAAGTATATATGGATCACAGTTCTTATATTGGTATGTTATATGTAAAAGAATAGTTGGCATTTACTTCTTAAATATACAAATATGTATGCGTGAAGTTACATAAATGTTCACTGTGCTTGTTGATACTACTATTATTAGCTTTATTTACTGTGGCTTTGTATATAGTGTACTTTTTTGTTTATTTGTTTTCCTGAGACGAAGTTTCTCTCTTGTTGCCCAGGCTGGAATGCAGTGGTGCAATCTTGGCACACTGCGACCTCCGCCTCCTGGGTTCCAGTGATTCTCCTGTCTCAGCCTCCTGAGTAGCTGGGATTACAGGCACATGCTATCATTCCCGGCTAATTTCACCATGTTGGCCAGGCTGGTCTCGAACTCCTGACCTCAGGTGATCTGCCTGCCTCAGCCTCCCAAAGTGCTGGGATTATAGGTGTGAGCCACTGCACCTGGCCTATATGTAGTGTACTTAATAGGAAGGGACATCCTTTTAATTCTCCTCATATTTCTTATAATATGATACAACACATAATGTGATGCTGATTTCAAAGATAAGATGTTCCCTAATATAGAACTATGCTTGCAATAAGAAAATGAGAATTCACTGAGTAATATGCATGTATTCATCTAAGCTATATTTTTATGGATAAAGAAAATTATAAATGTTAGGTACCTTTTGGGATACTTCCATAATTAGTGGTTTACATATGACCATGCAGGATGAGTAGATATTTATGTGTTGTGTACCATTGTATGCTCATGCTAGGCTAATTCATAGTAGGTGTTCAAGAAATATTTGGTAGATTAATGAATGTGATTCTGACTATAGAAATCAGTCTTTTCTCACTGAAATTTTAAGATAGTTATACAAATTTTGTTATGATTCATGGTTACTTATCACTATGTAAATCATCTAATGTTACCTATTTAAAATATTTTAATACTTGCTACAAATTATAACATCTTGTCACATGTTCTGTGTATCCACTGGGATAGCAGAAATTAATGGGAGATTCCTGAACATTGCCTATATTAGATTGGGGAAAGCATATAACCATGTTTACTTTATTTATGCTGAAGAGCATTTCGCAGTTGTAAAAGAATACATTTATAGTACAATTGCTTGTAAAAATCCATGTATTAAAGGAAATATAATAATACTCAGTGGGCATTTTATCTTAGATAATGAGTATCTTGATATTAACATATCTTTAATAATATACATGTCTTTATTATTAGGATTATCTTCCTACAGACTGTATTTTTTAATGTTTCATTATTCTATTAGCAGTGCCAATTTACACACTCAAATTAATTCAATCTATTGGATTCAAACCCATTTGCAAAATGTTTTTTCATTTGTATGGGGAAGGTCACGTTTCACTGTAGACCTCATTATGAACCTGAGGACCATAGGGCAATTGATGATAAAATCAATTCAGGAAGTTTTTATATCGAAACTTAAAAAAACTTTTTAGTTTCATCCAAGTAACTTCAAATAATTATAGAATTGCTAGTTATTTAATGTTTTGTAACCACTAGAAACATACAGAATAAAAGTATACTAGGATAAGTGACATTTTGAGGTCACTATGAAAGCAGGCAATTTTTAACATATGATGTGTTGAACACTATTGGGATATTTGATGTCTCATTGCTGTTCTTTGAATTCTCTATTTATCTAAGCCTGTGGTCATGCTCCCTAAGGAATGCTTTTAAAAACAAGAAGGCCAAAGGCAATAATAGCCACTGGTCTGTAATTATTTATCATGGCAAAAATATGATTAGTTTTGAAAGCCTGTCTAGTTAGAGAACTGCTTTAAACTTGTTTTTCTCTTGTGATTCTCAAAAAAGCAGTGCCCACTCATGGAATTCTTATCACTTTTCGAACCCAGGATTTAAGCCAAGTTGTATAACACAAGGAAAATATGTTGGGATTCAAGAAAGAAAACTGTGAACTATAGATATTTAGGGCATCTAATCTTAGTTTTAAACAATTTGTTTGTTTGAAAAGGGGAGAGGCTAGACCATATTTTAATTAAAAAATGCAAAGATATAAAGTCATTAAATGAGCATTATCTATTCCTGGGTTAGTCAGGATCCTGTTAGTTTGCAGAAGCATCTTTATAGGTCCTTCATAGCACAGCATGTTTTTCCTATATGTACTTGGCTAATTAGTCTCCCATAGTGAATTTTAAGGCATATTGAGAGATTAGGAAAATTTTCTTGACTATTTCCTTGACTGGGTTCAAATTAGTGAATGATTCTAGAAGTAATTTCAATATGATTCAGATACTTCACATTTTATAGACAAAGGGAAAGGCTATTGGACTGTCATTTTCTTGTGTACAGTTGTCTTAAGCTGGAACTGACTTGACAATTAGAATAAATCAAAATGTTGATGATTGCATATGAAAGACTCTATGCTCCTAGAAAGACCCTTTGAAGAATATTTGAGATATGTTTTAATATATTTTAAAACATATTTAGAAATATATACAGATAAATATAAACATAAAATATGTTCTTTTAATATATTTTAAGATAAATATATTAAAAGTCACTTTTCTTCCAGTAGTAGCAATGACTATTGTGTTGAATCCACATGGCAAAGATCGTAATTTTAAAGTGTTAATTATTATCCATTCTCCTTAGACTGCACATAACTTTAGGTTGGCCAGTCTGGTAAAATTTAGCACTGTTAGGACTTTAGTTATTCAGATAATTCATTTTATTAATATCTACTATTTCTGTAGTATGCTCATTTAATTTTTCTGTATTTTGTATTATTAAAACAAAGGAAGTCTTTACGGACTTCCAATATTTTGATGAATTCCATAGAATGTTGCAAAAGTTTCCAATATGGTAACATCTATAAACATATTGCCTTAGTAAAAGTGTACTGTGGTTTTATGTTGCTTTTTCTCTAAAAAAGAAAATCAATAATGCATTTGTGGTCTTTTTAACAAAGATTAGATGAATTAAAATAATATCATTATTGCCTCAAAATGAAGTTATCTTTTTAACATTGATAAATCAGCAGCATGATTATGGTCATATATGAACCAGTGATGTAATTTAGCAGCATGAATTTGGGGGCAAGGACTTAACACTCTACTTGACTGAAAAAGTATCGGCTTTATTTTTCTCATATTTTCTGATGGCCCCATTACTTACAACCCTGTTTTTATATTGGAAAAGGTAAACTGCCAACACTTGAGTACGATGGTAGCTATAAAATTTCTATACAGGAGGGGTTTGGGGATTTAACTTAACGCTTTATTTTCATAGCAGACAGCCACATTGTTTTTTGAGCTGGCCTACTTGGGGAGTTGGCTGATGGAGGTTATGGAAGGCTAAAGCCACTCCTTGGCACTGCTACTCCTTACCCTTTCCGTGCTTTAAACTGTTTTGAGTTATACTGTTACCTTCTGAAGAAAGCAAAGTAAATCTTCTGTTCTAAGGAAGCAAATAGTATTTTTCAAATAGCGAGGGATACAAAGCTAACTTAACGCAAAAGATCACATTGCTGAGTCTATTTAATTACATGTATGCAAATGGTGCTACTGTTGTACAAATTGCAAATGGTTCATAGCTATTCTTCAAAACAGTCTCAGCAGGAATATTTATATGGCAACCTGTTTAGCAGTTAAACTTACCTTAGGTGCTTTAAAGCAATTTCACTGAATTAAAGAAATGTTTAAATTTTAGCATATTTTAAGAGAAATGCATGTCTTCCTTTTCCCTCAATTAGCTCAGATTAGCGAGGTTGTTCTATATATTTAATTCCAGTACTGCTGTAGGTACCTGGTAAAGGAGTAATTAATGTTGTACATTAGGTAAGAAGGAGCAATTGATTTTTGGTTCTATTTGGCTTATCTTTTCTGCTTAAGTGCTGATATTTAATTTGTAGTGAAAACTCTAAAACAGCTCTGTATTTTTATGTTCATCCTGTTCCTTGAACTAATGAAATAAACACATTTATTGATTTCAGAATGAGCTTTATTAATGTAGTTAATATACCTTACTAATGTTATTCCGTGTACTTGGATTAGTACCATTATTGTTTATGAATCAACATTTTTTCTTTCAGTTCAAAAGAATGCAGAAGCATTAGAAGAAAAGAAGACTGGGCCTACAAAGAAGAAAGTGAAAGAACTGAGAATTTTGGATCCCAAAACAGCTCAGAATCTGTGTATGTAATATTTTCTTCATAGAATTGGTATAGGTAGTGGTGCAAGGGGTGGGAGCTGTTTAATGTATTTCATCAAAGTTGTAACCTTTTTAAACAGGCATATTTAGCATCTTCTGGAAACAAAATTCTGTGTAAACATGATTTGGTTGCCTTTTTGTTACTTAGCCGCTATGGAGAAAATTCTAATTCAACCTCCGTCAGACCAGATGAAACTTGTGAATAGTAAAGATTTGGAAAGTAATGATGATAATACACTGTTAGAGGACATAGTGAAACATAAGGCAGAACTGATAAAAAGTGATTTTTTTTTTCCTTCTGTCTAGACCTAGGATTGATAGTTTTAGAGTATTCACTAGTTACATTGGGCAAATCCTTCTACTGCTATTCCTTTATGTCTGAAGTAATTGTGATGTGAGCTACTTAAAATTTGTTAACCTTAACTGCATTTAAAAACTGGTTTGTGAACCTTTAAGCCTTTAACAAACCGGTCAGCCGTTAAGTATACTTTTGCTAAAGCAGATGGACAGTTAAACCCATCTTCATTTATGTAAGCCTTTAAGTTTTAGCATACTTTTTCCCTCTGTCTTGAATTCAGAATTTTTGTTCTGTCACTACAGTAGACTGTGTTTAGATTTTGCTGATACTAAAACACTATGCATCAGAAATTTCCACACATTGAGCATTTCTAATTGCACAAACTAATACCATGGGAGTTTATTTTGTTAAAGAATGTGGTATAGGGAATCATTACAATAAACAACACATCATTCTCATGTCAGTAGAAATGTTGCTATCAGAAAAGCAGTTTACCAGTAGCTGTTGTGAATGTGTAAATGTACTTATTTGATAGTACATTTTCAAAGTTGATGTTCAGTACTTTTCTTTAAAACACAGTATGATCTCAATTGCTGGTTGATTTCTGTCAACATTATTCTTTTAGATTGTGGAGATCTCATTTGGTCTTATGTATAAGGTAATCATTTGCCTATAGAGTGAGGATTTTGTTTTCTTTTCGTATGGCTGAAGGCATATAGACCTCTTCATGAAAAAAAAAAAAATTCTTAGAAATGTTCAAGTTCTGGGTGCCAGGCACGGTGGCTCATGCCTACAATCCCAGCACTTTGGGAGGCCAAGGCAGGTGGATCACCTGAGGTCAGGAATTTGAGACCAGCCTGGACAACATGGTGAAACCCTGCCTCTACTAAAAATGCAAAATTAGCCTGGTGTGGTGGCGCATGCCTGTAATCCCAGCTACTTGGGAGGCTGAGGCACGAGAATCACTTGAACCTGGGAGGCAAAGTTTGAAGTGAGCGGAGATCGCACCATTGCACTACAGGCTGGGCAACAAGAAAGAAACTCTGTCTCAAAAAAAGAGAGAAAAAAAAAACACGAAATGTTCAAGTTCTGGTGATAAGAACACATCTGTGTTCTTTAAAAAATGTTTAATGGAACATGTTGTTGCAAGTACCTTCTGAATAATCCTTAGCTATTCTAGGTTTAATTTGCTGAATTATTCTAATATGATATGATAGATTTCCACTTAAGAAAAAGTTGGCAGGGGAAATTGTGAGTCAGTATATAAAGTAAGCAATAGTATACCACAGGAATATAAGCAGGAATGCAAAGCACACTGATGATTTAGGCACTTTAATTTTTTTCTTATGTGGGAGAATTGCAGAGTAGATGGATATAATTTTTTATTTGGTTATTTTATTGTCTTTCCTGAGAAATACTGTGTTGGATGCATCTGACAATCTCCACACTAAATTCTTCATTAAATAAAAAGGTCAACTTGAAATAAAATCTCTTAAGTTTTCATGGGTCATTTTGTGTATCATCCTAATCTAAAAGGCATAAGCATATAGTCATTAGTAGGAATTTTATTTTGTGTGTAAATATGCACTAACTATAAACATTAGAGCCCGAGAAAATAGGCCATTTTGTCTAAATGGATAGAGTGAGTAGTCCATCGAATGGAACAACTTTTGTTTGTTCATAATTCTGTAAATTAGTATTAGTGACAAGTTTCGTATTTTGAGTCTATGAAATGAAAATCAGGCATTTATTACGACTTTAACATGTTGATGCTGTTCTACTTTTAATAAAATCAAATTTTATTTTAGCCATCTTTCTGGGATCATATCGCATGCCATATGAAGAGATAAGAAACATTATTCTGGAGGTTAATGAAGACCTGCTGAGTGAGGCTTTAATTCAGGTAACTTGGATATTTTCCTTCTGAAATTCATTTTCACAGATTTTTTTGGACTATTCTCTTCTCAATGGAGTTGTAAGAAAATTCTCTTCTATATTTAGATTTTTAAAAAGACATTGAGTAGTTTAATAAAATCAGGAATATCTAGCTGTGTTGCTAGTAAGAGGACTCAGTATAGAAAACCTAGGTTCTAATTCTGTTTCTGCCACTTATAAGCTATATATCCTTTTCAGTATAAGTATATGCATATATAGACATATCATTGTCCATTATTCACTGTACATACAGTTACATGTACTTCATCACCAAAATGGCTCCATTAAGTATATATTGTTCTTACCATTTTATGGGTGAAAAAGCTGAGGGGTCAAGAGGTTAAACAGCTTTCTGAAAATTAGTGGGTATTTAACATACCCATTGTTAAACTGAGTAACTTTTACCCAACTCTGTTTGGGTACATAACATGTATTGCTGATTATGTCCAGCACTGTCTGTATTTTTTATTTCATTGAATCCTACAATAATCCTATGAGATAAGCACTATTATTCTCATTTTACAAATAAGGAAACTGAGGTTTAGAGAGATTGCCCAATTTCACAAAGCTTGTAAGTGGTGTAAGTGGCAAAGTACCAGAGCTGGGATTCAAAACAATGTCTATCTTGACTCTAAAGCCGTTATATTATTCTGCCTTCCATGAACAAACTGTTGAATCTTTCTAAACCTCTATTTTCTCATTTGAAATTACAGGGTCATTGTGAGGATTTAACCAAATAAAGTGCTTTGTATAATAAAGGACGATACGGATCTAACACATCATTTGAATTCTTAGTATGTCTGGCCCTGTCTGGTTTAATTTTTGAAAGGAGTAACTGTAAAGATTTTTGTGGAAGCATATAGTCATTGTAGTTTTTTCTGTTTTTCTTTATTTTGTTGTTTTTTGTTTTTGAGCCATGCAGTTGGTTTTGAGTTTTAGAATACATCACATAGGGCCGGACGTGGTGACTCACGTCTGTAATCCCAGCACTGTGGGAGGCTGAGGCAGGCAGATCACGAGGTCAGGAGATCAAGGCCATCCTGGCCAACATGGTGAAGCCCTGTCTCTACTCAAAATATAGAGAAATTAGCTGAGTGTGGTGGTACACGCCTGTAATCCCAGCTACTCAGGAGGCTGAGGCAGGAGAATCACTTGAACCTGGGAGGTGGAGAATGCACTGGGCCAAGATCGTGCCACTGCACTCCTGCCTGGTGACAGAGCAAGATTCTGTCTCAAACAAAACAAAACAAAACAAAAACATCAAATAGTTAAATAGCTTATTCTATAACTTTAACAGTTTTGCCACATTCCCTGCAAACTCTGTAAATCTCAGAGAACCTGCATACATAATTTGAGCAAGTGATGTCTCTGTGGAAATCTCCTCTATTTTGGATTGTAGGCTTACATTAAAGTTTACCTCATATATATGTCTTAAATCTAGGCATGATTTTTTAAAATAGGACTAAGGTTTAATAAGATGACCTATGTCATCTCTTCCTTGCTTTTAGACCTCCATTGCTTTTTCTAAGCCTTTATCTCTTTATCTTTCTCACGAATCTATACATTTTATCCATATCCTGCTTTACCCACCAATTTCATGGCTTCCGTTTGCTGAGGACTTTTTAAAAGCCAACTTGCTTTCCTTCTCAGTGCCAGATACTTTAAAGTTTCTTCTCAATCCTTACCCTTTTTGATCAAAACCCATTTTCTTAGTTTTGCTTGTGGGAAGAAAACAGTTTAACATGTAGTATAATATACATAATTGGAATTGTGCTACTTGGGTACGGGTATAGGGCCTAAGTGGTGAGTAACTCAGCCAAGTTATTAAGGTTAGTATTGCTTTTACCTAGACAAATAAAATGGCTGAGTATCTTCTGGTAAAGAGGATGCATGCTCCTGGGTAGAAATAATTACATGATTTTCTAGTTCCCAAGAGAGATGGCTTCCCTCTGTCAGGAGAAAAGACTATAATCAGTAGCACCTTTTTCTCCCCTCAATTCCAGAACATTTGTTTCAGTGATGGAAAAGTAACATCAATTTGCCATTCATATGAGCTGTTTACCATTTATGTCTAATTACCATGTAGCACATCGATAATGCATGGCATTAAATGTGTATCATCAGATTAACTTTGTTGTAAGTTCTATTTGATTACAGTGCTAAACTCCATCCATGCATAATTATAGTTTTTTGCTCATGTAGCATGGTTGTCTCCTCATAGCAACAAAAACAAACAGCAATTAATGATATGTCACTTCCCAGAGACTTGAATTAACAGTAGTAGTATTTTCTTTTCCAGTATGGGTCAATAGGCTCTTGCTGGGCAGACAACTAATAGAATTTAGTTATTTGGCAGGATAATTGTCTTACTTAAAAAAAAATCAGAAAAACTTTTATTTAATCAGCAAGATCCAGCACCAAGTTGAAGATTATTAATAAACATCAATTTTCATTTTATTTCAAAATATCTAAATTTAAGCTAGAAAATGAGTTCTCTATGTGGGAAAAATTGAAGTGACCTAAAATACTTGCAGTAGCACATAGAAACATTTAAAAGTACACCATATCCTGAGATTGTCGAGGAGTTTTTAATGTATGTAATTATGAGTTACTGTCAAATAATGTGTACTAAATTTTTGTGACTTTTAGAATCATTATTCTAGCCTACAAAATTTGTTTCAGTATAATTTAATTTGATCTACTGAGAGAAAAATCTAAGACCAATCAGTCAGTGCTTTTTAGGATATCAGTGGTAAAACAGAAATATGTATATAGAGCATTGACAGAGTAATGAAATGAGCGGTTTGAAAAAAGTGGTGCATGTGTGAAGGGAAAAATAAAATTACGTTCTATTTGAGGTCATTAGTGCATGCAAATGATTCTAGGTAGGGAGTTTATACTTATATTCTTAAGGAATATGTGAAAAAAAGATGATCAGCATACAAGATAGTATATTATTGCTGCAGAATAATTTGTCAAGATATGATAAAGCATGGGTTGGTAACCTGGAGTTCAAAGCCCTCTTTGGGGACCCATGGAGAGAATTCAGGGAGTCCTAAACTTGTATGTGAAGAATATTACATCTTTATTTTCATTAGCTTCTAATTAATATTTAGCATATTATTTAAGAGTGTAGGCAACAGACCAAAGTAGTATTAACAGTACCTCTAACTTTTTCACTAATAGAAATAATAAATATTTTCATATCACATTACAGTTGTGGCAGATATCTTGAAATACTGTTACAGTCATTAATACTTCAAAATTACAGTACTTATTAGAGCTGTGACTAGAGATTATTTTTAATGCTTTAATCAAGCACTTCTATCATTATATCACTATTTTGGTAAATATGTTGATAACTATTTAAATGTAATTGGTATTTTATGTAATCCTATTTATTTTATTTTATCCTGATATAGAGGTTCACAGAAGGTGAACTGTAGGTTAGGTGGGCTGTGGTTAAGGTGGTCTTCCTGGAAGAAGTCTTCTAGACTTTGAAACACTAGTAGGATTCAGTTAGAGAGGGCTAGGATAAGAGAATGGTGGCCAAAGGCTTGAGGTATATAAAGGATAATGTCTTTATTTTTCTGGTATAGATAAGAGGTCATATAGGGTAGCAATGAGAAAGAGCATATAAAATATTAGTAACTTGGTGGTGGTCATATTATAGAGGCACACAGATAGCAAGTTGGTGACTCACAGGTGCTCACGCTCTCACGCTCTCTACCTCTCACTTTCTCTCTCTCACTTATGTTTTATTTGGCCTTTCTAGTGCCTAATTAGTGAAATTTTAATGTCACACACTCTCCAGTTTGCCACAAATCCCACCACTCCCTATTGCATTTTACTTACTCTGACTCATTCCTAACCCCTATATACACCAGAAGTTTTGATCCCTGGTAGACAACATGAATGCTGAGCTATTGAGTTTGGTCATGGTCAAATTGTGTGCTTAGGAAAGGTACTCTTAGCTGCAGTATGTCAGATGGCTTGATGTAAAGAGACTTGACATAGGGAGATCATTGCAGTTTCAAGCATAAGGGACATCATTGCAGTTTCCAGCGTAAGGTGTAATAAAGTTCTGACTATTTCCGAAGCAGGACAAAAGGGAATTTGGGTAAATAAGAAATTTTTAAAGAATGATTAATTGAAAAATCCTGGTAGTAGAGATAATGGTTGTAGCCCTGACACCGAGAGGCAAATCAGGTAGGGGAGAAAATACTTTCAGGGCAAAAGAGAAAAATTTTACAAATAACATTACATTGGAAAATGTACTGGAGGTCAGAATAGAGGCTGAGACTGAAAATAAGAATTTTTAGAGTCATTTGCAAAGAAGTGACTGTTGGAGTATCAGGACCAATGAAGTTCTTAAGTTTCCTCATGAAAAATGTAACAAATGGAAAGTTAAGGACTGCATATCTGGGGACCGTACAAGTCAAGGGGATGGGAGGTATTAGAGAAATTAGAGCAAAAGGAGTCAGCATATCAGAGAGAAGGCCAGGATACTATAGTGTATCATCAAAGCCAACACAAGAGGCTTTTAAAGAGTGATGAATAAGAGAAGGAGATTGGGAAAAGAGATATTTCCTTCATTATGTCAGCTTATAATGACTTATTTAGTTTAAATAGTTATTTTTCTATAGTTTTTTCTTGAAACAGCCTGCACTACATACCAGACACCTGTATTCCTTAAGCAAATGTTCTGTTTATTCGTGGTATTTTGGTCTCTGTCTCCCTTATGAGGGACATCTGCATTCCTACTGGGCATGCAACTGTCTGGTGTCCTATCTATTGTTCTTCTTCCACTTGCATTGTTTGTTTGTTTTTTGACATTTCCTTCCTTCCTTTCTTCCTTCTCTCCCTCCCTCCTTCCTTTCTCTCTTCCTGCTACTTTCTCTTACATTCTTTCATTCCCTTCTTCCCTCATTCCCTTCTTCTCTCCCTCCCTCCCTCCCTTCCTCGTTT